CCTTAAATATCCTCTCTCACTGCTATGAAAGTGGAGAGTAATTGATTGCAATCAAACAGCCAGTGACATTCAAGGGTTGTATGGCTACGTTCCAGAAGCATTCTCTCCTGACGTTTCACCCACATCTATGGCACGCATCCTCAGAGGTTGTGAAGTCTGTTGGAAACTAGGCAAGTGAGGTTTATATGTCTGTGGAATGTCCAAGGTGGGAGAAAAAACTTTTGTCTGCTTGAGGCAAGTGTGAATGTTGCAATTGGCCACCTTGATTAGTATTGAATGGCCTTGCAGCTTCAAAGCCTGGCTAAAAAAACCCTCTAAAATTAGGACAGTAAATAAACAACAGGAGAATTCCTGACATGAAAATATCAGGGCCAGATACCACCACCCAACAGAAGATTTCCCCGGAAGCAATCAGTCAGTCTTTGAAGCTGCAAGGCCATTCAATGCTAACCAAGGTGGCCATTTACAACATTCACACTTGCCTCTAGCAAACAAGAGTTCTTTCTCCCACTTTAGACATCCCACAGATATATAAACCTCACTTGCCTAGTTTCCGACAGACTTCACAACCTCTGAGGATGCCTGCCATAGATGTGGGTGAAACGTCAGGAGAGAACGCTTCTCGAACGTAGCCATACAGCCCGAAAAACTCACAACAACCCAGTGATTCCGACCATGAAAGCCTTTGATAACACAGTGACATTCAGCTACAATTTTGCTTTTGGAGAATTTTTTTTAAAAACTTGACAAAATGGGAACTTTTTCAAGCACCATCCGCACTGCCATATAAAATCCAGATTGCCTGCTTTGAACTGGGTTATATGGCAGTGTGGACATATAACCCAATTCAACACAGATAATATGGAGTATCTGCTTTGATCATTTGGATTATATGGTAGTGCAGATCCAGCCCCAGAAAGTGGAATATGAAATCACAAGACAATTGAGAACTTCATCATATCTGAATCAGGATMATCAYATATGAGTACTTCATCTTGTTGGAAGTCAACCTCAKAKTYCTCAAGTCTMCAGTCCTCAATCAGGAGCAACTAAAAAGCATTAGACTYGGCCYAGGGAATCCCTTCCCTGATCCTGAATGTCAMTTGAAGTGTATCTATTTGTTCCCTCAATCTCTCTTTCTCTTGCCATCCTAATTGGTGATGTAAAATTGATATTCTTTAGGTTGCATGCCTTGGTTTTAAGACCATGCAGTCGCACTTCTATTCTGTGTGATTGAAAAATGTTGTGTTTGGAGGTTTTTCCTCTTGTTTTTGAAATTTAGAAGTAACAGAGCTAGAGAGAAGC